GTTGAACCCTGAAAACCGGCCGGTGAAATTGCTGATCGAACGAAGCCCTTCCAGTACAATTCCGCAGGCTGGGATCGCTATGGTCCCATTGCTTGGGAATTCACTTGACCACATTGTACCAGGCTGCTGCAGTGGGGGCGCCTGCTGTGTCTTGTCCACGTGCTTCTGCAGTTTAACCCAACCCCCCCACGAAGGAGCACACACCTCCCCCTCCTGTCCCGTCCCGTCCCTCTGTAGTCAACATCAGCCTGCGCGTGGGCGGCCCATCGCAGCGTGGGCCCTTCGTGGAATCAGGCCTGGCTCAGCTCTCCTCAGAAAAGACACTGTGTTTATTGACTCGCTGGGCTGACAGGGGGGACGCTGGCCTCTGTCCCGGCGGGGGCTGTCCTGTGCTCTGATTGGAAGGTGGAATTTCCCGGGCTTAAGGCCCAGTGAGATTTACTAGAGCCACAGAGCTGTGGCACTGCAACACAGTGTGCTATAAATATAATGGTAAGATCCCACACGTGCAGTAAAAGCTACTATCGATTCCTGCATGATCGTGTGTTTATGGCAGCGCCAGGACCGTATTATCCAATAGGCACAGGAGGTGGGGCTGTACTGTCCAATAGGCACTGGAGGCGGGGCTGTACTGTCCAATTGGCTCCTGAGGCACTGACCTAACTAAGGATCCTATGGAAAAATGTTGATGGTGTTTTTTTTTTTATTTCTATGACTAAAAACTGTAACAATCCCCTCTTGATGATATATATAAAATATATATATATATATGCCAGCACCCTACAGCTCAAGCTCAGCAGTGTGAGCCTGGCCAGTACCTGGATGGGAGACTCCTGGGAAAGCTGAGGCTGCTGCTGGAAGAGGTGTTAGTGGGGCCAGTAGGGAGCGATCACCCTGCGGTCTGTGTGGGTCCTGATGCCCCAGTATAGTGACGGGGACACTACACTGTAAAAAGGCGCCATCCTTAGGATGAGATGTGAAACCGAGGTCCTGTCTCTCTGTGGTCATTAAAAATCCCAGGGCGTTTCTTGAAAAGAGTAGGGGTGTTACCCTGGTGTCCTGGCCAAATTTCCCCCTGGCCTTTCCCAGTCATGACCTCCTAATAATCCCCATCTCTGAACTGGCTTCATCACTCTGCTCTCCTCCCCACTGAGAGCTGGTGTGTGGGGAGAGGACTGGAGCATCATCCAGGTGGGGCTGCACACTGGTGGGGCTGGAGGGGATCCCCATGACCATAAAGAGCTTTGAGTGGAGTGTCCAGTAAAGCACTATATAAGTGTAATAAAATTATTTTTATTATTATTTAGGATGGTTAGGCATACATAAAAAGGCAGAGTCATGTTAATGTCCATTGATCTTTTGTCATTAATTACAGAAATGAAGACCAATAAGATGCCTCCACCACAGGGCCTCGGAAACAGCAGTGCCCAGGGCCTTCGGACCCTAATCCACGCCTCTGAGCCGGAGATGTCCGGGGAAGGGTGGGGATCGGCCTGGACACGGAGGGATTTGTGCTGTCAGCTGGAATGTTGAACTGTTACATCAGCGGGAACTCGTGAGTTGGGCGTTCTTCTGCTTGCGCTGTGTCTTCACGCGGACTGGGGCGGGGCAGGGGTCCAAGTCTCTCACGATCAAGCGGTCTTCCCCCTTTCCCCCCTTCTCTCCTGCCCTGCTCCCGCCTCCCCCACCCAAACCTCCTCCTCACTCTCATCACAACAAACCCTTCATTGTTCGGAGTCACAAACACACGTTGTGCCAAAACAACTATTTGCTGTCAGAAACAGAAACAGGACGTTCTGTTTCGGCCTCCTGGCCTCTGGGGCAGCAGCAGGGAGTGTCCTGTAGCCCCGCTGCCCCTCAGCGGTGTTGATCGATCGATAATCAATCACACTGCTGCGCACACACACACTGACATACTGCTGCACACACACTGACACACCACTCCACACTGACACACTACTACACACACTGACACTGCTACACACACTGACATACAATGCACACACACACTGCTTCACACACACGGACACACTGCACACACATACTGACACACTGTTGCACACACACTGACACTACCACACACACCAGGGTTTATTTTCTTGGACACACACTCACGCACACTCTGCTCTGACTGGACATTATGCTGCTAGCCCAGGGCCACTTGCCTGCTCACCGTGGGGCCTGACGTCTGCGGTGTGCCTGGGAGGAGAGGAGGTTATTCCGGCAGACTGGACTGGACACGAAAATATCTCCACACACCTACACAAGTGCAAACACACAGGGAGTGTTGCTCTGCTAAATGCTGAATACCTCAAGACACTAATGCACTAGTTTCCCACACTGCCTTACACTGTCCCATACTGTCCCGCGCAGAAGACCTACAACCACTCTTCATCAACCTCCTGTAACTGCTCCAAGCGGGACTGTGTTTCACACTGTCCCACACTTTCCCAAGCTATCTCACACTCTCCCACA